AACGGCTGTAAATTCTTTGGCTTTTCCCAGTGCTTATCATTACTAAACAGATCAAAAGTGCATGTTTTGCCCCAGTCTGATTATCATTCTGGAGATAATAATGTCTCATGGCTGTCTATCTTCCCCAGCACAGCATTTATTCAGCACTTGCTTCCTGATTAAATTAGTATCCTAAGGCTTGATCTGCATGTAAAACTCAGGTTCATATAGTTATACTCCTAAGGCTTGATTTACATCTAAAACTTAGGTTACAGTTACACCCTCAGCGGTGTGGAAAATCCACACTGCTGGGCACTGTAGCTATACCAGCCTAACCCCCAGGCTACATCTAGACTGGCATGATTTTCCGGAGTCTAGATTTGCACGGATGCTTTTCCACAAAAGCATTTTTTGCAGAAAAGCGTCTGTGCCAATCTAGATGCGCTTTTGCGCAAAAAAGCCCTGATAGCCATTTTCGCGATCGGGGCTTTTTTGCGCAAAACAAATCTCAGCTGTCTACACTGGCCCTTTTGCGCAAAAGAGACTTTTGCGCGAATGGGAACAGCATAGTATTTCCACAAAAAGCACTGATATCTTACAGTAGGAAGTCAGTGCTTTTGCGGAAATTCAAGTGGACAGTGTAGACAGCTGGCAAGTTTTTCTGGAAAAGTGACTGATTTTCTGGAAAAACTGGCCAGTCTAGACACAGCCCCAGTGTATATGCACCTAGGACAGTCTTCCATTGACCTGTCAATCACCCTACTTCCTGTCACTCAGGGATATAGTGTCTCTACAGTGCTAGACAAACCCCTTGGCTGTGTCTAGACTGGCCGCTTGAATTTCCACAAGAACACTGACAATCTCATGTAAGAAATCAGTGCTTCTTGCAGAAATACTGTGCTGCTTCCGTTAGGGCAAAAGTCCTTTTGCGCAAAAGCTTTTGCGCAAGAGGGCCAGTGTAGACAGCTCAGATTTGTTTTGCACAAAAAAGCCCCAATCACGAAAATGGCGATCGGGGTTTTTTTGCGCAAAAGCGCGTCTAGATTGGCACGGATGCTTTTCCGCAAAAAGTGCTTTTGTGGAAAAGCATCCGTACCAATCTAGATGCTCTTTCCGCAAATGTTTTTAATGAAAACTTTTCTGTTAAAAGCATTTGCGGAAAATCATGCCAGTCTAGACGTAGCCCTTCTGTTCTGGTAGGCTGCCTCTACTCTAAGGGACTATGCCAGCAGAGCTACCATGCTGTAGCTTTGCTGCTATCATTTCCCTCCCCCCAAATTAGACATGATGACTGTGTTACCTGTAAGATGCTCTTCTGAACAAACCTCTGCTGTAGGGTAATGCTTTGGAAAAGGAACTATAGCACTATAGTGGAAGTTTGCCACACTCTCTGCAGTGTGTCCCTCTCAAAAATTAGATTGACTAGCATTAAATCTGTCTGGGCTCCTGCTTTCCTTAGTGGAGGGGGAGGTGGGTTTTACTACTACTTACTGAGTTGTAAAGAAGGTACTTGTCACTTAGTTGGATCAAAGAAACAAAATACCTAGCATGATATTAAATTATATATCAAGCACCTCTCAGCTGTATTGACTGATGACAGCTCTTTCTTCCCTTTCCTCATGTTGTTCATTCCTAAACCACAGTCACAAATACACCAGGTGCTGAAAGTGTACTGAAAGTACATGACTGTATTCAAATAACAAGCTCTTTGGTTAACGAGTCATCTGATCTATAGTATCTAGTAACAAACAAGCCTGATATCTATCCATGTGGCCTGGTTCCTAAGAAAGGGTATATTGTTTCCATGTATAACCTGTATAAAGGAGCTGGGATCATGTTGCTGCAGGAACAGAAAACTTGGAAAGCCCAACCTCTGAACAGATGCTCCGTTATCAGATACCCTTTAGAATGTTTGTACCACCAAAGGGCTAGATGAGTGGGTAGTACACAAGAGCCAAAGAAGAGCTCTCTTTGGTGTGGAAGGGAGCAAAGAGGCCCTAAAACCAGCAAAGAGAAGGAAGTGTTGCCCTAACTATTATTATAACATGGTGCACACTGTATTATTGAGAAAATGGACATTTGGACACCAAAATATTTATCTTGGGTGTAAATCAACATAGCACCATGACAGTTAAATTGGAGCTACAGCAATCCACATCAACTGAGGATCTGGTCCTCATGTTTAATCACATATGAATCTGCTCCACCCTTTATCATCATAAAATAAACTGAGTGATGTAAAGTTTCAGTACAAGCTCTCCCCTCATTGCTTTTGGGTGTGTCATGGGCCCTCATGTGAAAATTTCAGTAGGCCTTGTATAGTCCATCTCAAGCAATTTCAAAGTACCTGCTGCTCCTTGGGTGCTGTCACAAATACACGAGGGCAGGAGGGATCACAGGAGCTGCTTTTTCACCTTAGTAATGGATAGGAGTGCAGCATCCCTCGGGGCTTCCCTCACAGTGACAGAAATATGCGAATTGTGCAGGCATCAGTTGACTTCTGGGACACAGCTTGTGGGGGACATGGGAATCTTACTCCTCCATTCCCAGTTCCTTTGGGCTCTGGGACCTATCCCATAAACTGGCATGAAAATTGCCTACGAGTCTGGGATTCTTGCTGAAATTGTAGTATGCTGCAATTAGTGCAGCAGAGCCCTGGATGGGCATATGGCTCAAATACAATAGCTTACACCATTACAAGTGTGACCATGTACACACAATTAGTATAAATTATATGCATATATGGTAAACCAGTTCAGTTTGGGGTATAAATAAGTCCTCTCCTGCCCTGTTTCCCCCCATTCTCCCCCACCCTAAAAACCACAAATACATAATTTAGAAAAACAAGGTGGAATCTTGGTAGAGCTGCTGTTATGTTGTACCTCCACATACCAATCCACTTTAAGCCGTAGTGTCAAGTCACTCCTTTTGAAAAGAGGCATATAAACATCAGGAATGTGTTTTGTGTCATTGTAAATTACATCAATTATCCATCTCACAAACCAGGAAAGAGCACCAGTAATTTCTCAGGCAAAGATAGACAGGTTGAAATAAAGGATGAACATGAGTTGAAATGATAGTGTCAGATATTTTTAAAAAGTGACAAATATATGTTTTTGGAGACAAAAATGTTTTACAAAACCTATTATTGATAAAAATGTTAACTACTTTTTCAATAATTGATTTTTTCAAAAATTAAACATTTTACTACAGTGTTTACAGATTTGACATTACAATAGGGATCTACCATGCAAAAGAACCAGAAAGTAAAGCTGATTGTTCTTCAGGAGTTGTCTACATGGGGAAATTAACCAGGATAGCTCTTTCAAAATAGTTTTTGGTACATAGGGACACCCAAGGGCTGTGTCTAGACTGGCATGATTTTCCGGAAATGCTTTTAACCGAAAAGTTTTCCGTTAAAAGCATTTTCAGAAAAGAGCGTCTAGATTGGCACGGACACTTTTCCGCAAAAGCTCTTTTTGCGGAAAAGCGTCCGTGCCAATCTAGACGCGCTTTTCCGCAAAAAAGCTCCAATCGCCATTTTCGCGATCGGGGCTTTTTTGCGGAAAACAAATTTGAGCTGTTTACACTAGCCGTTTTGCACAAAACTTTTGTGCAAAAGGACTTTTACCTGAACGGGAGCAGCATAGTATTTCTGCAAGAAGCACTGATTTCAGACAGTAGGAAGTCAGTGCTTTTGCGGAAATTCAAGCGGCCAGTGTAGACAGCTGGCAAGTTTTTCCAGAAAAGCGGCTGATTTTCTGGAAAAAGTGGCCAGTCTAGACACAGCCAAGATGTTTACAGTGAAATAGCTATTTCAGAATAGTTTATTACACAGTAATCATTCTTATCAATATTAGGCCTTGATTCTGTAATCAGATTTATGTGGGTGATCCCCTGTGTGTCTGTGTGTGGTTCCCCAGGGAGCAAAGCTCATTTTGGTTGATCCAATTGCAGCCTTGGGGCCAAAGGTCTTTCAAGGCCATCATAACATCTAAACACAGCTTAAGGTATTGCTTTAGGTCCTGATCCTGCAAGAACTTACATACTTAAATGTGTACACTCTGAGACATCCTGTGACTTCTGCGAGACCATTCAGCATGGTTACGTCTAGACTGGCATGATTTTCCGCAAATGCTTTTAATGGAAAAGTTTTTCCATTAAAAGCATTTGTGGAAAAGAGCGTCTAGATTGGCACGGACGCTTTTCTGCAAAAGTGTAGATAGCTGCTTTTGCGGAAAAACTTGCCAGTCTAGATGCAGCCTATGTGTAAAGATAACCAGGTGCTGGTGCATGTCTCTGTGGAAAATGAAGGCATTTTCATTGTCCAAGATGAATTAAACACTAAAAAGCAGAGAAACAGCAATAATGTGAAAAATAAATCCCATATTAAAAAACCCTCAGTCCTAATTACTTGATGTAATACAGGTGACAAATTGATTTTTTTTAACCTGACAGCGTCATGTTAAAATAAACAGTTAAGTATCTTTTAAATCTGTCATCAGTTGCATATAACCCTTCAATGGAGCTCATAAAAATCCCATAGACTATTGCATGTTTTTTTTAATTAGCCACTCCCAGTTTCCCGATCAATACACACTTAGCTTCATTAATTATACAGGCCTAATAGGCTGATTTCCAGGCATGCCCTAATATTTGCTGCGGGACCTAATTTCTGAATGCCACAGCCGGTTTTATTTCCTTTGCTGTGTATTGTTCCTTTCTTTTATTTGTTAACCTACAAAGAGGCTGTCTGATGGGGGGAGGCTTGCAAGCCAGTCTGAAAAATCCAAACAAATCAAAAGGCTGCTTGAATCAATCTGAAGATCAGATTAGACACATTTATTCATGGGACCCTCTGGAAATGGACTGGCGCTTTGTTGTTCCCAGCTGATGCGATGTGGGGAGGGAAGGAGGAGGCGGAGGAAGAAGCAGCCTCTTTAGGCGGAGCTTGACTGTCCCGAGACAGAGTTCATCTAATGAAATGTTCACATCCGACAGCCTCTCACGTTTTTTCCGTTAGCTCATCTTCTCCCTGACCCCCCTCGCAAACACAATCAATGAAGACCGCGCAGCGCTGGTCTTTGCTCCTTCCTTGCGAGCAGGCGGAGCGCAGGGCGGGTTCGCTCTTCTCTCTCTGACAAAACTGCGGCCGGGCCCGCGGGCGACAGTCAATGCGCTGGAAACTCTTGCTGGCCCGCCCAAGCATGTGCGAGTCAGACGGAGGGAGTGAGTTTGGCTACATAGTGAAGCTGATAGAGAAAGGCAAGGTAAGGACGGTGGGACCCAGCCGCGCGGGCTGCGGTCCCGCTCCTCAGCCGCAGGTTTCCCGCGCTCGCCGCGGCAGGCAAAGCCCACGGCGGGCGATGGGGCTGTTTGCATTCACCTGTGGCCAAACCCCGGGTTAGATCCGACGCGAGCAACTGATTTACACGCGGGCTTGGCTGCGACGCCCGCTGTGTCCGAGCAAATCCAGATCGCGTGACACCGACGCGACCAAACCTCAGCCCCTCGATCGTCTCTAAGCCCACCCTGCGAGCCCCTCCTATGGCTAGGCACGACGGGCACCAAAGGGGCGAACACGAGTGAAGTGTTCGTGCGACCCGGGTGCCTTTCGTCTCCCCAAACCTTTCTGTGGGTGGCACCTCGAGGGGAGGGGAGGGGTGAGAGAGAGAAAAGCTCCCTCCAGGGCAGTCGTTTAAACTTGACTCCGGAATTGTTTACACCTATTGGGTAGCTGAAGTGGAGTGAGCCAGTCGGTGGCTGCGGGCAATGAAGTGTAGCTGTGCCAGTGTGCTGTGTGTGAGTGCCTAGTGCTGCCCGGCCCGCTGGTGCCTTGGGGCAGGCTCT